AATAAAAACACTTTTATCTAAATTATTTGCAATAGTGCGCTCCTTGTTTGAAATTTTACGCATTAATTGTTTTAAATTTCCACCGCAAAACAGGTTAACCTCCTATTATGCAAGATGTTGATAGGTAAAGCCATTAAGCGATCTCCAGAAATTGACTCCAACATTTTCCATCACGAATTTTGGTATTTTGTAAAATGAAAAGTCTATCTTTATGGGCTTAAGTCATTTTTGGTGGTTTTCATAATGGCCTTATCAAAATTTGCTCCCCTGAATATTTGCAAGATGGAAGTTTTGTGACGCCCATAGACTTCGCTTCAGTTTATAATGGCAATTTTTCCATTACTTTGCTCTTCCCTCTTTTGGCTATTTTGTTTACCTCCTTGCGTGTCAAAGTATTGTTTGGGTTCATTTACATTCCGACAAAGCGCATTTCCTTTTTCAAATACGAACTAAACCTTGATTTTCACTGCAAAACTCTCTCAAAAATGGTACCACATATTGATGCATGCATAGGCAATCGATTGTATATTACCCCTTACTTTTTGAAAAAGGACCACTTCTTGTTGAAAGAGAGTGTTTTCCCAAAATAATTAGCTTTCAAAGGACATACCTCCCCTGAAATGCCGCGATGTAATATGGCAAGAGTTAGTAAAAATACTTTGGGAGGCTAAGATCAACCCAAATTTAGTGCCTCGTAAGATTTCCTTACTCCTCAAAGCCTCATTACAATAATAAGCGTTCCTAAAGGGACGAATTCTACTTTATTTGTCATGCTAAGACCTCATCGACAAGATGGTCTAAGCAGCTCTGTAGTGAATCGTGTTGATTCACGTCCAATAAGCCGGTCGTCGCAACCTCACACACGCGTCCCTCTTTTCAGGGCGTGCCCGTCAGTCACTGGGACCGTCTGCTCATTCACCTCACCATTCGCTTAACTCCAAAACCATTTTGTGAATGTATTTTTGTTAGAACTGAAGCGTCCTTTTGTGCAGAACTTAATTAGTCACATGAGTTGTTGAAATCAACATCTAGGTACTTAGGTTTTCTAAAAATGCACCACAGCTAACGATCTCCAACTATGTAAACTCAAAAATCCGTAAGAATGTCAACTTCCTGTAAAATATATTCATGATTTTTCAATTTTAAGTTACGAACTATTTAGTTAATCAGTGTTCTACAAATATGTCGAAATAGTGTCCACATTTTTACCTGACTGCGCATCTAAATCCATTAACACACAAACAAAAATAACGAAAACATTGCGACGTAAATGTTGGTCCATAGATTTCTGCAAATTGATTCTGCCCAACCAAACTTTTTCATGCCTTTTAGAGCATAGTGCACTGCAGCGGTGTTAGAAAAACGCTTCTTTGCCTGCTTACCTTTTGCTTTCGTTTAGTTCAATTTGTAGCCTTTATTAGGTGTCAACATCTGTGACTTTGAGAAGACAAAAATGTAAGTTTGTAAAGCTTTTACTTGGTTTGCCACATTATTAATGGGCATCACTTCTGTAGGTTTTGTAATTCAAATCTGTAGTTATTTGATGTGATACAATTGCATTCATTTAACCACCATATTACTATATCCAACTACTTTCTAGGCTTGTTCTGCCAAGCATATAATCAATGTACACTGGAAACAATTGTAATGGCATATTAATTCTTACATTTGGAATCCTTTTCATTTTGAAACAATTTATTGCCAAGTTTGTATTTATCTTAAGGCTCATCCTTATTCCTGATCCTAGATTGTTTGTTTATCTGGATGTGGTAAAAATGAGGTTTGCAGCACCTCATCTGCTCCTTTGAAGATGTTCTATTAATTCTTTTCAGACCATTCCAATGTATGTAGCATAATTCATTTATCTATTTGTGATCGCTCAGACTGGCAAATATACAATGTCTTACAGTGCATATTAAGGTTTGAATCTTAGTAAAAAGAACAATCAACAAACATCAGAAATTTCTTAAGCCCACGTTATCTCAAGTGACGATCACGACATGCTAGTAAAGCATAGGAACTGCATAAATGTTATCCTTTTTTTCAAAATCAAAATAACTGATACCGTTCAAAGTGTCTAGCGACAAAATTAAATTGTAAATTTGAAAACACAAGTGCTGCGATTTATGTTAGGCTATTCCATTGTTTGCAAGAGGCTATCTTTAATAAATGACGAGTTTCTTAATTATTTACCAAAAATACTTCACTTTGTATAAAACAAGCTTTCTTCCAAAATATTTCTCTAATACATACCCAATTAAATGGAATGCCTTAACTTCTGTTCACCTATTATTTGGTTTTTTTAAATGGAGTATCAACGGGAATGCCCTTAATAAATCCCTAGAAAACCTCATCCCTAGCACTTGATTGAATTGAGTGCGTGAAGATTGGGCACGTTGCAGCCTCTCGTGAAAAATATTCGTTGTTAATATATAAAAGTCATCACGCGGAACCAATTAGAATGCGACCTTAGAATTCAAGCACAGACAAATTTGATGTCCTAAAATATCTTATAATAGAAGCTCTGAACTTTTAGTCTTTCGTCCATCTCGCTCCTTTTTGAAAAGTTGCAACCATTAACCCGACAAATGTTAAAAAATATTATCCTATCCTAGTTATTAATCAAAAGACGTGTTCAACAATACCCACGAGTGGATCACGCTGCAGTGGCAGAAAATGCTGAGCTAAACTTCAGTGGCAAAAGGAAAGGAGCAATCGATGGGACACAATAGCTTAGTAATCGGGTATATTTAGTTGACTGTGAGCGCATTGGTATGCGAATTTTAGGAATGCTGTGCAACAATAATATTTAGTGGTGGACCAGTTTACAAAGGAGTGTGAAATTACATTAATGATACAAGGGATAAATATGCCTTAGGTAAGGTCATGCAGCTGAAGTGTTAATTGATTTATATGGAAAAGATTCACTAAAAACAAAGTTCACTGTTTTACGTGTGAACCTAGGTGGAAAACGGTGTCTTATTTAGCAAATACTTTAAATTATAAAAATTCATGCGACAAATAATAGCACCAGTATTTAATGTATTCTTATTTTCTAAACATTTTTTATTCTTGTCCACATTTCTTGATTATTTTATGGTTCTTTTAGAGGATTCTGAACACCTAACAAAAGGATTTGTAGTGATTCGTGTTAATTCACGCCCAATAACCCAGTCCTCGCAGCTTTCAGAACACGTCCCCCTTTTCACGACCCGCCCACCACCACCCGCGTGTTAGTCATGTGACCTCACAGACTCCTGTGTTTATTTTTGTACATGTCCCCCGAACCGTAATTGTACACACACACAACTTGGTTGAGCGGTCTAGAAAACGGTTGTGCCTTTTCCACTCCAGTCTTCTTTATTTTCGCGGGAACTCAGGGTAACGTATTCGGCCTAGATTGTCGCAGTGGCCCCGGCGTGGTTCAACACAACATGCCGGGGCCCTCAACAAATTCTTAACACCAAGATGAACCTAATGTTACATGGAAATTCAAAGTCATCAAATTCTACTAAAATGAAGTGGACATTTATAACTAAAGAAAGTGCAAAAGATATTCGAGTTAATTCTAAAAAATTTGAAATCTCGAAGAAATTCTCAGGTTTGGTACGAACACTACCAAATAGCATTTAATAATTAATAATTCTCTATGCACTGAAAGGTTTATTCTGCCTGCTCTAACTATTAAAAAAACAAATCTCCGGATTTTTGAGTATTCTTCACCGCTTACAAACACCCTTGAAAATAATTCACAGGTCAATGTAACTAGATTTTCTGTATATGATGAATTAACAAATATTGTCCACCCCAGTGTTTTGTTCCTTGTTAAATGGAAAAATTTCATATGTTTAAGCCATATTGAAAGTCAGTTTATTATATAAGCGCAAATTGTTGTTTGCTGTTTTGTCAATAGGTTACATTGTTTCCTACTTTTACATGGCGGCATTGCAAAGAATACGATTAGTTTTTGCAAGTCTGCGAAAATAATGCGTCAACTAGTTGTGGTTTGTCCGTGTCTATTTAATAATTGCCAAATTAAAAACAACTTTTTTGGCTTCATTTTGAATTAGCAAGATTTTTTTAAACACAACCACCATTAGATCGCATGATCACAATAGACTTTGAAGACTGCGAGGCTTTCTACCATTTTTGTAAAAGAGAATAGGTATTGTTTACGCTCGTTTATTTCATAATATTTGTCCAACACACAGTAACCTCTAATATTATTAATTCACTTTCAGGTAAAATACTTTTTTACCTGAAGGTTATTAGTGTTATATAAGAAGACTTATCTTAAGGTCACGCTTATTTAAGTGAATGACAATTGCATTCCAATTGCGCGGCGGCCCAACAAACAAATCGTGTAAACTCGTTTAGTCACTCTGCGCAATCTTTAAGTGTTGCAAAGGTATGGGTGTGAATGTTCAAGAACGATTTCTTTGTTTTTCTCAAATTTATAGCAGTTTCTATATTTATCGACTAGTACTCTTTAATATTAAACATGCGTCTGCAAATGTCTATTAGATTAGTTCGCTTACATGAAGTAAAAACCTTTTTATTGTTAATTAATTGTTCACATAGATCTAACATAATAAATAACTACTAGTTTTGAAATGTATGATAGACAAACGCATTCCACCAATTGTCAACGCTCATGCTTCGCTAATTTAACAGTTGGTGCATGGTCAATTTTTATGTTCAAGTGTGAATTTCTACAATCAGTGTGGGCTTATATTCGACTGCTTCCTACCTATAATTAATTTTTTTATTCTTTTTACTGATTGACCAACCTTGTATAATAGCTCTTGTTTACCCGTTAACTTTATCATTTTATTAAACCTTACATTCTAAACTCATGCCTTCGTCAAGTTGTATATGTTTTTTTGCTAGCACTACATCATTAATGCATTATTTATTTTATTCTAATTATTAATCGTCCTTTGTGCTAGGTGGTGTTACTTTTGTAGCTTGCGCCTTCATTCGCCTGTGCCCAGAGTAAAATGCCGCCAGCATATTCAACGGAAGAATTGTTAAACTGCTTTACTCAGGTACGTTAAGTAGGTTTTTCCTGCACTAGCTACAAAATTGTTACCTAATTTGTGTAAATGGTGTTTGATTACTGCTTATTAACTCAATTTTAAAAGGTTCCCTCCTTGGAGTCATTTCAATTTACTCCTGCTTTGGTTGAGGCTGCCTTATCTGATCCATCATGCTCATCCGTTGGCACTGTTCTGGTACTGTACACTGGTGGCACTATCGGAATGCGCTCCCATGGGGGTGTCTATGAACCGGAACCAAATTTCCTCGTCAACAAGGTTATGTCAATGTCTATGTTTCAGGATATGTCGTAAGTGGCTAACATCTATTATTGATAAACATATTTTGTCTATTGAATTTGACAAACCTTTTCGTTAAATTTAAACGAAAATGAAATCAGATTATGAATATGGTCTCAAAAAGGCATCAGCGTATGGAGGAATTTTCTAATTTTAAAGGAATTTATCTTATTATTGAATATCCCTCAACTCTAATGAATGTCATAAACGTGAATAAACGTGCTTTCTATATTCAAGAGGACTAACGAAATCGCATGAAGCATTTCATGCAAATTTATAACACGTACTTTCCTACCAGGCCGGTACTTTTTAAAAATCCTTACATTACTTATGCATTCCTGATTTTTTTCCTTCAACATGATCGTACTTCAGCAATAAGTTTTTGGAACCTGGTCCTCGAAACTCATAATTAATATTAACACGAAATTATTTTAGTCTGAGATTATTGTTTCAGGTATTTCAGGCTATTCCTCATCCATGCCAGCTGTTTATGGGTTGTGTTTATGCGTGTTTACTGTTTGCTTATGTTACTAACATGGATTCGCTAAGTTTGCGGACCACTTACGCGTTAAATAATTTGTCACAAAACTGAACTCTTGTCAATTATGCCTCCACCGATAAGGTTCTGTTACCTGAAGCTGCTGGGATACCTATTTACTCCAGGCGTTAAATCTGAGTAGAATATAATTGCCGAAATCACTCAAAGCCATTTTCGTTATTTCTGCCACCTCAGTGCACTACCAAAAATGTAAATTCTATCTTAAATCTTACACGCCTTTTACAGACATCTCTTATGTGACTTAGATCCCACTTTAAGATATTTCAGACGTCGTAAAATCATTTAAATTATTTTATATGTAAGCATCAGCTTACTGTGCCTTTCTTACATATATTCCCTAGGTTCGCCGAAAGGAATCAAATCCATGTTAAATATCACAAATCTAAAAGAGCTGGAAGTAAGCAAACTCGCTTTGACCAGGACGGTGATGATAACCCTCAATGGCCAGTGATATGTATGCCACCTACAACTGACAACCGTCGCATATTCTTCACTATTGCCGAATATGCAAATCTCCTTGATTCCTCGAATTGCACAATGGACAACTGGATTCAAGTAGCCAAGCATATTCAGCTATTTTACGACAAATTTGACGGCTTTGTCGTCCTTCATGGAACAGATACTCTGGCCTACGCTGCCTCTTTCCTTTCATTCATTCTCGAAGGCCTTCGCAAACCAGTGGTGGTGACAGGGTCGCAGATCCCCATCGGTGAATTACGCAGCGATGGAAGGGAAAATTTATTAGGTTCGCTTTTGGTCGCAGGTGGCGAGCAACTTATTTCAGAAGTTGCAGTTTTCTTTAATAACGGGGTAGGCTGGTTCCCATTTAATAACTTTCCTAACAGTGTATATTCTGAAGTATTGTCTGGTTGAAATTGCTTTTAATATACTCTGTGATTAAAAGGCTAGAATTTAACAAAAGTTTTACTGACTAAATGTGTGATAGAACCCCAATTTTAGTTTTTACTTTTTTTCTGATAATTTGTTAATGCTGCTGCAAGTAAACCACAAGCTTTTTGGAGTGTAACGCTATTGCAAGCATCATTTCTATATACTGCATCTAAAGTATATATCTATCATTATTTTAGCATTATTTTTCAATATTATTATCAACTTGAAACCATATTGTCAATTGTATTTATCTTTAGTGATCAAAACCGCAACTGCAGTATTTTATGTTTGTTTGCTTCGAAAGTCTTTTTAAAAAAATCTCACATTTAATTTACGCGTCTGCTAATTTTCTTTGATATTATAGCAACGCACTTCCATTTTGTAACCTTAAGAGTTGACCATTCCCAACTTTAAAATCACTAAACTCTAAGAATTTGATACTGTAAATCAGTTGGCTTTTTTCTCCATTCTACTTCCAACGCAATTAAAACGTGCCACATCCACCCAGACTTGTGAACCACGCCCTTTAAGCCCTACTGATAGCCCGGTGCCTGTTTAGGGGTGTGCCAGCGACAGAAACGACAGCAAGTCCTATCCAAACACACCCTTCAGTCTTATTAGCCACAGAATACTTGCATTCAATTCACCCAGTTTGGTGTTGCTCTACCGAATTGCAACTGCTATCGCCCGATTATCCACCTACAAAACTATGCTTGGATTACGATTTTAAATAAATGAAAAATGTATCTTAGGCATGTCAAAATTTCAACAAAGCGTGTGAACTAATACACAGAACATTGGCAGTGAACATTTGAGGCGCTAATGATAATAAGATGTCATGAGCGTTTTTTTAATCTCACCGATAAAAAGAAGAGATTTAAACAAAAGTAAATGCAGGTATTTATTTTTGCCACCTGCAAAACCAACAGCTTATATTTTATACATAGTGATAAACCCATTGTTAATAGTTGCTTTCTTACGTATATCGGCAAAATCGAGCGGAAAAAAGTAGTCAAATCCACTAGCTTGCTCCCTAAAAACTCACTCTCAGTGTTTTGTTATAAATTGCATTTAGCGGTTTATGGGGTGAAGATTTTGTGCGTAGGCTTCCTAAACCAGCAATTTGTGTAAGAGCTTTGAAATTACTTTTCTGTTATTAAAAATGCTTCGGTTCTGAAGGCATGTTTTGGGAGAAATTTGCACAAGTGTTGGCTGATTGACATCATTCATAAACTGAATTTCTTCCTTTCAAAAACGAAATTCTTCACTATATTTAGAGGTTGTTGCTACTAACTGCATTTTAGAAGTCAGATAGAGCTAAGTTCATTGCATCAACGAGGGTGCATTTCACCCTAATTCCACGCTTTCTTATTTTTCCAGCCCTCGCACAACTCCGTCAACCCTTTACCAAGAAAAGGAGCCTCGTTGACGCGGAATGTTTTATAGTTGAAATATCCAAATATTGTGAAATCATAGCGTTGTAAAATCAGACATTTCATTCGAAGTTATTAGTTTGAACAATCAGATTCTACAATTAACAGCAAATACATACAACAAGTACAGTCGCTTTCTACTATTAGGAACTTTGAATGGTGTTTCAATAAGCCAATGTAGTAAAACAAAGGGTTATGCCTAAATAGCATAATAAATGTTACAGATTCAATGTTGCACGTGTCATAAAAAGTCAACAGAGCTTGCCATTTGGAAATCAGTAGGATCAGAATAACATCAAAGTCTGGCATCTTGTTCAGCACTTTTCTCCAGATTTGGCTTAAAAATCTTTCATTTTTACTTTCCTCTTAGCAGCCAATCGCTTTCATTCCTACTGGATTAATTTGACACGCATTACTAAAATTTTTCTTACTCTGATATTTATGGGCGTAGCTTAATTCCTGATAATTCTGTGACCAGATCTATCACCTTTTATCCAAGCAAGTATTCTAGCTGGCCTTATTTTTGGAGCCTCAGTTAACTTTGGTGACTGAATGTTTCGTTTGCCACAGAGCTTGGTTTAGAATAGCGAGGGTTTGAGGCTATTAGTTACATATGTACTTCCTTCAGGCACGTCTAGCAATGCGCTATTGCGCATAAAACATTGTTTGCATCAAGTCAATGCTGTTGTTTTCATTTGCCTCCGCAAATCTCACACCATAACAGGCAAGTAATTCAAAACATAGGGCTTTGATCGAGTCGAAAAGCAGGCAAGTGCCAGCACTGGTCCTGCGTGCCTACCAAGAGGGCGTTGAATTGGCGACTGTTTGCGTAGGGTGAATCCAGGGTGCTGAAACATTCATTGCCTATACCCCTACCTTTGAAAGTGCTAAGGTGATAATAACGCTCAGTTTGAATGGCAGAAACTTATGAATTTCGATGTTTCAGTAATTTAATTATCACTCTCTGGTGTTATTTTGGAGGTGATCTCAATAATTTGTATGTTTAAGTTGAGATCAACAAATGATTACTTAATCATGCGGACTCTTAACTTCAACCTCCATTATGGATTTTTTTAGTTAAAATCCTTCCATTAAATGGTTGATCGTTGACTCCGCTTCACTTGAGAGCTATAGGTATAGGCTTTGCATAATAACGTTGTTTGCTGTGCTGAATTTAGCTGTCTGATACCAGTAGCCACTCAGACAGATCAGATTTGTAAACGCATTCCCAGCTTCGACACTTCTAGTAAATTTGTTTTTTTTACCTTGCAAAGTCCTACCTATATTCTTTTTATAGGACGGATGAATAAACCATATTTAGCGCATTTTGAACTATATTTACATTAACTTCCAAAATCAGTATTAATACGTCAAATTTTCATGGTGAAATGCCATACCAGTGTGCCTAGAAAGAATTCTCAAAAGTTAAATAAGCTTTTAGGTGATATGGGAATGAGAATTTTGTCGTCTAAAGTTTGTTGATCCCAAAAACATTCTTCTGAACAACAGAGGTCCTTCATATTACACATAAAAGCCAGCTGTGTGTAATGTGCTCATGTTTCTACGTAGCTTTGCCTTTGTCTTGCAGCTATTTCGTGGGAACCGAGTTGTGAAATGTTCAGCAACTGACTTAGACGCTTTTACCTCACCGAACTACCCACCCCTGGCCGAAATGAGTGTTGACTTCAGCCTTCATCTGGCGAACATCCTTCGTCCCTTGGGCGAGGGCAAAGGCCTCGTGGTTAGCGACTCGCTTTGCCGAAATGTCGTCATGCTGCGCATCTTCCCCTCAATCACAACCGAAACAGTAAAGGCATTTTTCCAGCCACCTGTCGAGGGTTTGTCATAACATATAAGCTTTGGTAACGCTTTAAAATTAACACAATCAGCCATTTGGCCAATACCTAATAACAGAGGCTCTAAAGAACGTCCAATGCACTTATTCAAATAACCGGCAATAAGGCGCTGATTTTCTGATTTATCTAAGGATTTAACAATAAAATTATAAACAAAGAACTTGCAAATCATGCGTCGAGAATATGTGTGTACCCTGTAACAGTTGGAAATAAATTTTTAAAAATGCCATTCAGAACTAAGTCAAAACTGCGAGTGTTGCAGGTTTTGTGTTAATTTTAGGGGGCAGATCAGGCGTGGGATGATCTAAGTGTACGACATTTACTTTCACCGTTATTAACTTATTGTAGCTTACTTCAATTTAATAATTTCAAATTATCTCGTTTGATACATTTAGCGAATTGCATGAAACGAAATCCTGTTTCCTTTGGCACATTAAGACTCTAGAAACCCGAAAAACTCTTGATCGAGTGTAGATCTATGCTGTTTATTGAGACCGGAATAAGCCATTCTTCTTGGTCCTGCAATTTCTATGATGTTTGTTTATGGTCCCGTGTCATGTGCTTTTTGCGTCTTTCGATTTACGAGTAGGAATATAAACCGTGTTCACACACACACACACACCTGCCTTACTTTCGATCGATATCTTCTGCTTTGTTCTGGTAGATTCCACAAGTTATGATTTTTTCACCCGAGATTATCCACAATTATTCCGTAATTTGTGGACTTGTAAATAAACTGGTACCCTCCTTGATTTATTTCTATGACTTTTTATAAGAGGGGCATGCTGTGTGTAGCCGGGGGCGCGAATCCAGGGTGCGTTGACGGCTCCGAGCAGCTGAAGGAACCGCACCCGCTTAACTCAATCCAACGTAACAAATTTAATCAATGTGACTTCGGGAGTTTTCTGGGTGGCATCGGTCAGTGTACATGTATTCTCGGTAAACATTGAACACTGCTCTCACTGGTCATCATTGCTTATAGCACTAAATACTTTATGGCCGATTTTAGGGTTTGTGATTGCCGTAGGCACTTCACGAGTGCAAGCAGTTGAGGATTTCACTCTGCCGCCTTTCGGTAGTATATATTATGCGGAAAAATAATAAATATGGATGTTATAAGTAAGTTAAAACTAGCTATCGTTTAATTTTAGGCGTGATTTTGCAAACTTACGGTGCAGGAAACGTCCCTGCAAAACGTTTGGACCTCCTGGATATTTTCAAGGAAGCAACAGAGAAACATGGGATTATTATTTTGAATATAACGCAATGTTGGCGTGGATCCATTCAAGCTAAATACTCCACCGGTGCAGTCTTACAGAAAGTTGGAGTAATTCCGGGCTATGTAAATTTGTGTTCATAGGTACATTTAGTTTAAAAAATCCAGCCAAACTGTCTAAATGCGTGTTTTCCTTGCATAAGGATATGACGCCAGAAGCAGCCCTGGCTAAGTTGGCCTACGTCCTGGGACGATGGAAGGACATACCGACCAGGCGTCGCATTCTAACATATGACCTTCGTGGAGAAGTAACCCTACCCACAGCGCTGACACCGGACACCACTGAAGAGGCGCCCGCATTCAGTCTCCAGGGCGTCACGACTGGACAGGCTGGTATAACACAAGTGGTGGGGCATGTAGGCGCCATTATGTGTCGTGCAACTGAAAACGGTCCAGCCAATGTCTGGGCTCAGCGCCTTTTCCCCTACCTCCTTTGTGGCGCCGCCGAGACCAATGACTGCGATATGCTTGACCAATTGTTTAGCATTACACACACTTTCGATGTAAGTATTAAAATCCCTTTGAGCAATTACCGTATAATGTCAGGTGACTTTTTGAGAAATAATTGAATACATTACCACGGCACTACGTGATTCTTCAAAGCGTTTAAACCATTCTATAATTCATTTCTGCCATTTTGCAGGCCTGTTTTCAGCCACTTTATCAACTAAGAACTTATATGTCAATGCCGTGGCGAAATTTGGTAATATGCTTGCGAATAAGTAAGTGTTTCAATAGTTCGATTCAGGTGGTCATCGTATACACTACACTGCCGCCTCTTCAGAAACGACCACACGTTTAAACAGTGAGCTTTACAGCGTATTCAGGTTGTCCTTACTTGACCTCTGACATTATCTCTGCACTGCACTCACTGACTCTGCCGCTAGACTGCTCATTGATTACTAGGCGTTGTGTACTAGCACGTGACACGTTGACTAAACAACAGCATGACACATGACACACGACATCTTGCTTTGTTTTTTTCAATATAAGAAAAGACCTGCAAAGTTATAATAACGAAAACGGTGTACTGATTGACCTCGATGTTAGCACGTGACGAGAGCTGTGTTAACCCTTCCCTTCAAGATCTGTGACCACGAGCAACGAAGGCCATTGCACGTTGCCGCCGCCAGTGGCCAAATGCAGGCCTGTGAGCTCATGTTAACGAATGGCGCAAGTCCCAATGTGGTGGATCGATACGGCCGCACCCCTATGATCTACGCCATAAGAAGTCCGAAGGGCACTCCTGAACTGGTCAAGCTGCTCATGGAGCATGGCGCCAAGCTCCCTCCAGTCGAAGTCATTCAGGCTCATGAGGCCAACGACGCAGCCATGTTTGGCAAAGTGGGTCAGCTTAAACTGTTCAAACTGGCCGGGATGTCGCTTCAGGTAAGCAGTTTATTGCTATGGTGAAGGTACCTGTGGCGCCTAAGTTGTTTGTATCACGTCATTGTAACGTCCAACACATCTGTGACTTTTAGATGCCCAGTGTATGCATAAAGACGAAAGTTTGATAAAGGTATTCTGAAAGAGCATTTGACACAGTGGCAGAGCGAACACAGCATTCAATTTTATTTCTTTGCCACGTTTACCTACTTTTGAGACTCTCAACAAATCATCTACTTTGCTAAATTAAGTAAAATAGTTACTTTTCTGAGCGTCGACTCGGTATTGGGCATAACCCGCCAGTAGTTGTAATTCAGTACCGTTTTTCGATTTCCTTTTAATTCGTAGGAGCTAGACATGGAAGGCAGGGCTCCATTGCATGTGGCTGTTAGTCATAGGCAGGTGGATACCGTCCGCTACCTCATCTCTCGGGCAGAAGATGGCGGAGCTGGAATCAATCCAATGCAAAAGACGTCGTACGGGTCAACCGCCTACGAGGAGGCATGTCAACGCAACCTCACCGAAATAATCTCAATTCTCGAACCATTTGCCACTCAAACCGCCCCCTAAGACGACCACCTGTGCGAAATTATGGTTTTCTTACTAACAATACACTGAGTTATCATCGTGCATAATCTTTCAACCACTTTTTACCTCTTTAAATACAACAGAAGCCTGTGGTACTGATTATGCCTTTCTATTCATTCTATTATCAGACGCAATTTCCCTCCGCTTAGCGTATCACTATGAAAGTAATAGCTTTAACCGACACATTTTTTAAAGATGAGATGACAAAAAAAGGCGGCAACCGGAGTTAGGAGGATTTCGGACATTTCAAAAGACGGTTTGCTTCGACTTCAAATCAATAGGGCGGAAGTTTTTCTAAGTGAGCTTCCCGCCGCCCACAATTGTGCCTAAACGGAAGTTCGCAGATGCACGTGCTGCCTACGTGTCCGAAAACTGTACCTTCGGTAAATTATGGCCGAGCTGCCCGTGGTTCATGTCACGCTGAACCACCGACGTGGTGCGCCTGCACGTATAAAAGCCTCTGGCACCAAAACCGCGTTAGGCTCTCGTTATGGCCACAACGACTGCTGCCTTCCTCGTCCTTGTTATTGCTGGACTCGCGTTTTCTGACGGTGAGCGAAGCTTTAGCTCCTCTCAAGTTAGGCCTTACTAGCATTGTTTTTATTACTCCCTCATGGGTGCTTGATGTGAACTTAAAATGAAATTTTCACACCACTTTTATGGTACCAGAGATTAGTAAAATATTAAACGAGGAGAAAAATGGCGTCTATTAATTACTTATTAGCTCTTTGGATACAGGAATATGGATGTGCAAATGCTCGGGTAGAAGACGTGGGTTTTCTTTCACCAAAGACCACCTGTGCTGATCCACGTGCCAGTTAACAATGGAAGCCGTCAGGCTCTGAAGGCTTCGCGTGGCTTGACTTTATGTAAATCAAGGTGTGCGCGCCACAATAACGTGGTCGATTGGGAGTCGAGTGCAACGTTTTGGTTTGAAATATGTTACTTGAAGCTTTTCTCAAAAATGCACCAAGTACTGAGGGGGGATTTCATCAGGTTTCGCCAATTTGACTCATTTTTTCGCGGTTAACGTGATTCAGGCAAGTATCGAAGGTGGCAACAAGAAAGTGTTTACAATGTCCTAATATCGTATGGGTCACGTCCATTGTTAACTTGAGCAATCCAACTTTTCCCTAAAAGACTAAGAACTGAAAGCGATCGATTTGGCGGAGTAACACACGATCAACACTCTCTTTGTTGACTTCGCATGATCCATTCAGTTGTACAAGTCGCTCCAGCCAATGTTCAAATTTGATTTTTTACCAAAACATTTCTATGAGTAAGTTGTCATTTCCGTAAATTTTTCTTACAAGGCACAGACTGGCGCATCCCCCCACACTGCAACCTGCCGCTGCATCGAGGTCCATGTCGGGCGTTCATACCATCCTATGGTTACAATGTCACAAGCGGGGAATGCCAGCGCTTCGTCTTTGGTGGATGCCGCAGCAATGGAAACCGATTTACAACTCTCAGTGGGTGCAGGCGTACATGTCTCGGAATCTAGGATCGCCGCTGTTTTAGTTTCGCTTGAACGTAGCAATATCTACTGTCGTGGATGGCACTATCTTCTTGTACGTACAAATGCATTTCAAAATAAAATTGAGAAAGTGCAGACCTATTTTGATATTAGCAGGACTTCCTCAGCAAACTGGGACTCAAACTTGTGACTCGAATCAAGAAAAGAGCGCTGCCTTTATCGGTGCCGTGTTTCAGAATGCGCCAAAGACCAGTAGTTTTTATTCGTGAGTTGCCAAAACATAATCTATACACCGCTTTAAAAACAACCCCAAATGCACCGGGATTAAATTATACAGAACTCTAGTTCAGGACATTATTCTCGGGAGCTTAAGTTAGGTGGGCAATGCTCAAGTTATAACAACTTTCACCTAGACTCCGTAAATGAACTCGAGCCTAGGGAATACGTGCACACGCAAACACTTGGGAGGTTGGGTCTCGTGAGTCACAAAGAGAAAGCCCTAAAACCGAACGTGAAGCCCCAACAGAAACTAAATACAGCCCTCTCCGCTCTTTTTAACTAACATCAATTAAAAGTTGTGATAACGAAAGTAATAGTAATAATGCTAAGAATAAACGAAGTAAATCTCACATAGGGTTTCCATTTTTTGCAACACCAATTTAGTCAACAAACCTACCTTAAGGTTTAAGCGTACAGTGATTTACAGAATTTTAAAAATACAAAGAGCTCAGAAGGCAAGCAAGTTGTTCATGCATTAGCAAAGTGTTTTGTAAATAATTCCTGATAAACTTGGTCGGACGAGCTCACAACCTACAAGCCTGGGGATGCTCTACTGTGGGTAAGGGGGTGGGGCGTACGAAGGGGGTGGAGCAGTGGGACGATCACTTCCCCAACCTGAGCCCAAGGCGCCGTTGTCTCGGGGGTAGGGAGCGGCCCCAACGCCACTCGTGGTCTGATCGACATTCCAGCCGATGGCACCACCTCCCACTGGCGCCGGTGGGTAACTGGGATCAGGCAAGCCGGTTGGATAGCCCTATGAAAAACAGGTCGGAAATTCAGGCCGGCTACTTAACATAGAAATACACATGCGTACCGCCTGATTAAAGAAAGTGGAAACGAAAATCACAGTCAACTCTATTTGACTAATCGCAATGCCGAGACAATACAATACAACATTCAATCATCCGTGGTTAAGACACAACTTCTGCATCATATTTGGTTAAAAATAACTTACTATGTTCTTGCTGCAACTTGTCGGAGGGATAAAAAAGTAGATAAACAGGTCTTAAGCAAGCAAACAAATAACCAATGACATTACACAATGTGGGTGTAAAAGCATTTGCAACGCAGTCATAACTTGTGGATGCTTGGTTCCTAAGAGAACTTTAGCGTCAAGAAAAAGCACCATACATGTGAGCACCGAGGCCGCCGTCAGTTCATGGGATAGCGTACGACTTAACACTTCACCAAATGAAAGTGAAAAAGTAGCCATATAAATTAGTTTGAGGAAAAAATAGCAATTTTGCAATGCAAACCTGATGGCTTACAGGTCCAGGAGGCTGAGAGGAGATATTCTGACCATGTGTCACGACATTGGGGCCAGACTGTTTATCCTTTCGACAACAGCAGAAGTAAATTATGACCGCCAAAATGACGATAATGGCCAAGGACACCCCCAACCCAATGAACGAAATTCCCATCGCAGCAGAGAAAAGCTAACAATGAAGGTCTATAAAGAAAGCGAATAACAACTACGTTGACTCGTAAATATCAATAGGACTATTAAGTAAATAATTTTTTAATTAGGAAAATGAAACAAACGTCTCCCTCTACTTTACCACGTCAAGTAAAATGCTCATTACTATTCATTAGAGATTGAGCTTAAATCTCGGCGGAGTCAGTTTCCACGTGGGTAGATATTCCGAAATTGATCAAAGATTATAGTACAGCAAAAATCAAGTTATTAAAGAATGTATTACGTCGTGGCATTTAATGTAAGCGGGCACTAACAAGCTTCATCGATACCAAGAGAAGAAATCGGGTGACTACTTCATTCATGATTAAACGACATCAATAACAAAATGTCACAAATAGACTTGGAAATAATTTAATTTTAATTTTTCGATATTAATAAGGAAAAAAGAACAAGGAGCAACGAATCCTTCAACAGATTTCATGGCGGGATAAAGAGTTGGTTGAAAATTTAGTCCCTCTGAATCGCAAAAGAAATCAAACTATGTCTAATGCAAATTGAGGTTACAAGTAATGGCAATAGAGGCACAAATTAATTGAAGTCGACAGTAATGAATACTTGCTTAGAGGTAAATGGTAATTTAATACCTTGATTCCGTTCACATATGATCATACGATTTTCTCAATTGTTGAAGACAAAATCAGGATTCGGTTAGTTTGCGGGGATTTTAAGTAAGCTATAGGGAAAGGCTACACACATATATTTGATTGATTATCCCAACAAACTACAATTTGCAAACTACATAAAAGCGTTTCTCTGAGAATGTACTCTTATTACAAATGTACTACCAAGTGTCGCTAAACACAGGTTTTGGCAAAGCCAGAATAAAATTAGATTGACAACAAAAAACCTTATCGATAAAAAAGTACGCAACGTGTAATTAAACACGGTAAACATATATTTACTAATGCATAAATTTACGAGAAACGACGAGATTTAATACAGCTCTTTAGGTTTTAGTTCAACCTTCGGCAACAAAGCAATGTCATCAAATCATGTTTACCCTATAGGATTTTCACTGCGAATATCTCATGTCGCGTTGTACTTTTTAACAGCAAATATATTGGGTAAGTACAAGTATCCTCGTTTGATTACATGGAGAAATTGACTACTGCGTTTAAGCAACATAGCTACCCAGCCACACACACAGAATGCATCAGAATTATCACACCCAAACCAACAAGTCGATAATTTTAGGTGGGGCTGAACCTGGGCGCCTCCGCTAAGATTTATTAAATTACGCCTCCTACATCAGGCACCTCGTTCCGCACTGCGTGGTATTTTCGCCTACTAATGCATCTATTGTACGTCTTTTGATACCGGTAATAAGGAACTTAGGAATGAAACCAGGTGGTCAAATGGAGTAAACAATCAATAAGGGGTTGGCTATAGGAATGTGGCTAGAATGTCCAAGGTCACCAATGACTCTGCGAAGTGAGCCACCCTGACATGCCCCTCGTCCACTGACACCCTCTCGAGATCCCAACTTCCAACATTCCACAGGCTCTCATCGAAGCTATAGACCGACGAGTCGATTCTAGGACAGTACAGGCCCACGATCATGTGACCAACCCGCTCACCTCTCACCCACCTGCCTACCCATTCCCCTTACAATTATTAAAAACTGCGCACACGTGCCACCTTGAACTGCATTCTTTAGTTTGCAATATACTATGTTCTTAATTTTCCCATTGCTGTGGCTATGAATGATAGTTAAAAAGTAAATACCCTTCCAAAATTCCAGTTCAACAGATACATTGTCAAACCCGACGATAATTAATCCCACACACGGACAAACTCTTTTATCTCGAGGTAATCATATAAGATGTCACCGAAGCCAAATAAAGACCAGTCAATCATTGTATTATGACCCTAGGGATGATCGTCGATGGGCTTTTTTGAGAATCAATGAGAACAGCACAGAAGCATTTATCCCTGCAAATAAGTCCAATAAAGCTGTGTTCAAACGCTGGTTAATCTAAAGCGTTTTTAAAAACCATGTAAGCCTTTAAAACGTAGTATATACTTGCCTAAACGCGGATGAATTTTAAAATTAAGAGATGTTTCTGCGCGATTGCTACATCAAAGGCTACAACATCAACAAAATAAAGCAAGGCAAACCAGACACAGGCCTTTAAAAAACTACTTGGAGCCAAAGCATTGCATAAAAAAGGGTAAGGGTAACTAAAAATGATAAAAAATCACGCACCCAAAACACCGAGCGTTTGTGTGGTGTGCCGTCGGATTAGGGCGCAGACATCTTGGAACACCTGGCCTCAGCCAATCCCGTGTCTCTCTGCGATCCAATGGCATGCGGGAAGCGAAGGCAGCCAACCAGAAAAGGACATGGATGAGATGCAGTATATAATGAGCGGCGTGGCCAGCGCAGTGGACTCGGGTGGAAGGCGCCTGACGCGTGGCTCTGGCTTCTGATTGGTCAATAAAGCCTGTTCTGTTGTACCGGTCTTTTACTTATTAAGGCTCGGGTATTCTGCAGTGGCGTCGGATTAGGGCGCAGGCATGTTGGACCACCTGGCCTCAGCCAATCCCGTGTCTCTCTGCGATCCAATGGCATGCGGGAAAGGAAGGCAGCCAACCAGAGAAGGACACGACTGAGGTGTAGTATATAATCAGCGGCGTGGCCAGCGCGGTGGACTCGGATGGAAGGCGCCTGACGCGTGGCTCTGGCTTCTGATTGGTCAATAAAGCTTGTTCTGTTGTACCGGTCTTTTACCTATTAGGGCTCGGGTATTCTACATTTGTGCCGAACAATAGCGCAGACATATTGCATTACACCGAGCTTAGCCAATCCTCTGTCTCAGTGTATTTCAATAGCTAATATTGAAGATCGCCAGCCACTGTAACATGCCTGGACATAACAGAAAGGTGTATGGACGGTCATACATGTTTAATGTTGCAAGACACTGACATTAATCCCCAGTCTCAGGGTTAAAGTTCTTTGAGGACAAGGGGTTTGCTTATTTTGTCAGTCCGCATTGCTTGCGTCTGACCATTGGCTCCAACTTAGCTTCTAAAAAAAGAAAGGCAAACTCGTGAAGTGAATGAATAATTATACTTAGGCGCTCCATTTGAAACCCAACTGATCCACGCGATGGGAAATCGCACTAATTCTCACCTAATGAGGCCGCTACGGCGCGCCACTGGTTCTCGACAAATGGCTGAAAACCAAGATGGCAACCCTTTTTCCCCACGCTACTGTAGAATACCCGAGGTCTACTAGAAAGAGGACTGGTGCACCAGAACAGGCTTTACTGACAAATCACAACCCAGTACCACAAGTGAGGCTCCCCATTATATACTACTACTTGTTCGTGTCTTTATCTGGTTTTCTGCTTATCTTCCTTACATGCCATTAGTACGCAGAGAGACACACGATTGGCTGAAGCCAGCGTGGTATAATATGTCTGTCCTCTTATCCGTCGCCATACAACGCTAACAAGAGGCAATGGTGGGTGATTTAGTGCTATTTAAAAAGTCACTTGAAGATCCAGTTTGACTAGTGGTTGATCAAACGGCAATTAAATAATGTGACCCACCTCTGTAGGCTAGGGGTTGGGAAAACTTCATTACAGCAATATCACCTATTCGTTTTCATAATAAGGTGTAGCTTTACTTGCAAATAAAATGGTCCAAAGCAAACAAATTTTAAAACACCTTTAATTTACCAGACGGAATTCAAATACTGCCGATTTCTCATGTCATTTAAAGCAGATTACGAATGCACACAAAATACCAAAGTCTAATACTTTTTTCGGATGCCTTTAAGTGCATTTTATTTAGACACAAAAAATTGCAACTATACAATGGCAGAAACAATAGGCTTAGTGTTTTGTCTTAACTATCTCTCGTCATATTCCGGAGTTTTGTGCATCATTCGTATCTCATTTTTTTGAAATTTGCTTAAGTTATAAGAGTGACTTTAATGCAGTCTACTTTTTGTGGATTGTTAAAGGAATAGGGCAGCTCAAAATTTCGTTTTCGAAAAGAAATTTTTAGAGAGCAACTTCACACTCGAAGTTACTGCAGGTTGCTTGCAACTAGCCTAAATTTAACTATATATGACGCTTTTCTAGCATTTTTGAAGCAAAATGTCTTTTAAAGCGACTTGGTTGCGCCGGTGGCTGATCGTCATGTTTGTATTTATGTGCAAACCTAGTTACCGAAATTACGCCCCCTATTGGATCCATGATTCCCACCTTGTTGCGCCTTAAACAAGTAATAAGCCAATGGATGCTCGACTTCGTCTACTGTCCCATCAACCCGCAGTGCCGCCTTGATTGAATCGGTGTTCGTTTCTTCGCGCAATCATGGACGGGGCCAAGTTTTTAGAAATGCGAAAGCAGATTGAGGAAAACAACCAAGATATACAGGACTTCCTTGGTGATATGAATCAATGGCGATCATGTGTTGAGAAAAAAAATGCTAAACTGCGGGCTGAGGCAGATACACCAAAGGATCTGCCATTAGTTCGCAATATTCTCCACAAGAAAAAAAGAAAAAAGGTTAATCAAACAGCTGCTGTAAGTTTCTTGGATGTTCCTTTCTTTATCCTCAAAATAGCCCAAAAATTCATCGGTGGCCAGTGCACCTCAGCGAATTAAATCCTACGATTATAAGGCCTGGGATTCCTTTGATGTTGATAAGGCATTAGAAGATTTGGACAAGCCCGAAATTCCTCAGCCTTCTGAGGAGAGTGAAACTGATGACGAATGGGAAAATGAAAGGCGCTTAAGGCTTTCAGATGTCGAAAAGGAGCAGGGGAATCTCCGTTTTAAGGTATTTGTATTATCGTTCTGACATATTTTTAATACAGCAGATGTCATTGTCATTGAATTAATTTTGTTCATTTTAAAGTGTATTGCTCACAAGCAGTTAGATTTCGTGGAAAAACGTGGTTATCGGTGCTGGACGATTGTCCCAGAAATAACCTGCTAGTTGTAGTCATGTCATTTAGTTATTTAATGTCGTAAATATGCTACTGTTGAAAGGTATGGACTCATTTACTCTTCGTTTTTAAATCACTGGGACATGAAATTCCTTTCATAACTGTGTAATTTTTGTAATTAAAGCTTTTAACTTTTCATCAACTAATTTATTTGAAATGCGTTTTCAACTCAAAACCATATTTTACAATCTATAAGTTGCTCGTGTGATCTGTTTTGTTCCTCGAAAAATTACTGTTTATTTCGGAAATTTAATTCAATGCTTTTTGGATATAGTAAACTGTGGTACTCTGGACTGCGGCCTTTTGTCTCGCGCTTTTGTTGTGGTTGATTTACTTCTCTTCGCGTCTTTGAGTTGTTAGGTTTTTCTGAATATATTTCCTTATGGTTTCTTATGCTTTTGCTTGACGAATGCTTCGTCAAAGGGTCAAATAAATATGTAGCATTATTTAACTGGCTACTGGGTTAAGTTCTAAAAGAATTTTATATCTGAACAAAGGGCTAGTAGAAGCATTATCTTACAGGTTATACAGGCTTGAGTTTTGTAAACACGACAGTGGTTTCAGTAGTATCCTTTTATGTGTATCTTTAGTCCACGTCTTTGGATGATTTAAAGACATCCACGGTTCTAAAAACCTGTATTTACTCGAATGTTATGCTTATCTGCTTACATGCCATTGAGATCATGTATCTTTTAATGTCCAGACAATTGATTTAGGATTCCGGAATCCTGTGCTCCTGGTCTTACCATGGTACCCTTGTTCGTCATTTTTTTCAATTCTGTGCGTCCTTTAAGTTTCCGTCAAGATTGCATCAAGTTAAGTCTGATACTGACCTTTCGCACTCAATCTACAATGAAGCTAAACAGTTGTTGTATATTGAACCACTGCTGTTGGAAGAATGTTTATATTTCAGATATTTGTTCTTGGTTAGAACAAGCATGTTGTTTTAAATTCCTGTTTCTTTTTCTGACAATCCAGATTTGTCTAGCTCTGCTTGGGACCATCGACCTAATCTTTCTGCGTTTATGTGGGTACTAATTTTTTTAAGTAGGTTTAATATAAGAATTCCAGGAAGACCTTGAAAAAGTGGTGTGCTTGGTTTTCGTTGACTGCTCTTTCTGTTTGGACAATTTCATGAAGCGGTCTTGCCTTCAACTTACGCCTTTGTGTCCATACGGAAACCAGTAAACAAATAATTAAGTATATGATGATCCCTTGCCCTTGCTTTTTCCTTTATCTGCTCAGCACAATTCTTCATCAGAGTTAAATTTGGCTGTATAAATCCGGTTTTAAACTACTCTTAGAGGGTTGGCAAAGTTTTTAATAAGCTAGTTAATTAATTTTCGCTGCTGTGATATGAAGTGCTATCAACATCAAATGTTTTAATTCATCTTAGTCATTCTAAACATCTGAGAATTACGTTTAAAACCACATATCATGATGGTTGGGTGGTTTTCAACTAACAACACATTAGAATGTGAGTTTCATGTCGTTCTCTTCTACTCTGAAATTCAGTGTAACACTGTGTTCTAAACCTCATTCCACCATCTGATTTAGTTACCGCATTATCGTTTGTACCCTTATTCTCGCAGCCTGAAGCCGACTTCCCTCTTAGTTGCCACCACGGGCATCAGAGCATTTACAAAATAGAGATACCACAAACCGATTTAAGGGCTTGTATAAGTAGACCTCCAGATAAATTGATTCCAAATCCCTCCGACGGTGTGGAGTGGGAATAGTTTAGATCGCGCTGTGTGGACCATTGCTGGTAATCCGGGATCGTGCTGGTGTTCCAGAGCCCTCTGCTGCCACGAGGCCTAGGAATATTGTAGTACGTGCATTTGGCCGTTTGCATCAGTTGAAATGTAAACCAGGTAACATATTTGCAGTTCTCTGATACATTCGGAAGATGATTGCCACGTTCTTGTTGCTGTTTTTGAAATGTTAGTCAACTGTACGAACATGTTTGTGTCAGTTGCTTATCAACATTAGAAAAACACTTTGTATTCCACAATTTGGTATTGAATGCCATTATCATTCGATCTGTCAGGCTTGTGCCAGTATCTAGTAGTGTGCCAGGTTGGTGAAGAGGGATTCTAACTGTTGATGTCCTGCTGACTGTTTTAAAGGAAGGAAAATACGAAGAGGCGATTGAGCACTACACCACCTCAATTCAGCTTGCTCCAGAGCTTCCGCTTCTCTACACAAATAGGGCGCTGGCCCTCTACAAGTTGGAACGCTTTGCTTCCGCCGAAACTGACTGTTCCATGGCACTATCTCTCAACCCGAGGCTGGTAAAAGCTCTCTACCGGTACGTTCTCCAATACTAATCTCTACTGATGTCACACTCCAAGTTCACGTCTGTAGATGTTGTTGATTGTATTGGAAACGTGCTTGCTAGGTGCCAAAACCAATCTTTTCTAGGTCTGTATTTTTGCTACAAACACCATTTGCCACTGTTTCATTGTTTTCGTAGCCTTCGGTGTAATAAAATCGCAGTAGCGTTCATTTTTGTATTTACCTGAAAAATCTGAAGCAGCTTTTGCAGCACTTCTCCTCCTCCACAAAGTTGGTGTTGTTTGCACGTGGAAAAAATTGGCAAAAGTGTAATGTTCAATCACCTTTTGCCTCCACTTTCTCTCAAAATTCGCCTTTATTAGATTTTCGGTCACCCTTATGAAAACAAATATCCTTGATGATATTCACTCTCTTTCTTTCCGGCTTCCTCAATTTTTTTCGTGAAAATGCGTTTAACGGTTCAGAAAGACTAGCTAAACATTTTTCTGAGCATATAACTGTGCAATTTTCGAAATGCCTTTCACTCTTGGACAACAAGTGGAAATAGAAAAAGAGGCATTTTGCTCCACTGCCTAATAGTTTGGTTCCACTTGAGACTTGAGGCCATGTAGACATCACTGTTGAAAGCTTATTTGCTCAACTGTTGTAGCTTGACGCTACTTAAATAGTGTAGGCGTCTCCGGCTCTTAAAAGTTTGGCAATAACTCAAACTCAAATATCTATTTTCTTCATCTTGGTTTGCCCTTTCAGGCATTAAATTGTGGCAAGACAAATCGGTTTCGCATCACGGAATTGAGTCGCCTGTAAAATTTGCCTTTCCACACATGTCTTTGCGCATCTCTACAATTCATTGTCCACGTTTTATTACTTGTGAGTTGAGGTAACTCATTGTCCACTTTGTTGGGAGGTAGATTATGATCTCGTTTATTTTGATGTTAGTACTCATAAAAATATTCTTTGTTGTAAAGTCCATCTTAAACTTGATTTGCATTGACACGTGACCTGCCAAATTCAACTATTCAATGTATACATTCATCTGTTGTATAATGCTATCAACTAGCGGATTGCATCTTTTCCGCCCGTAGGAAGAGAACTAGCATTTCCTGTTTCCCTTTAAAGGAAAGAGGTTTAACTCCTTTTCATCGTTGTCGCAGCATTGCATCAACTCACAGCCAAAGTCCAATTTTTTGGTGGGGTTGTTTTCGGTAATCATAGTTCAGCTTGATTCTTATTTTATTGGCAAGTCCTTTCGTGTTGGCTCAGTAAAACGATTTGCATTTAAAAGTTTCATTTACGGTAAATCGAGTGGATGCTCGTTTGATGCGGGCGAGTTCTGTTCCCCTATGTCTGTAAAGCCTTGCTGTAAATACCTCCATGAAGGGAATGATCCCATTTAAGGTCCCCCCTGCCTTCCCCTCGGAACCTCTGTGGTTCACTTTTACGCAGTTTAGCGGTCGAAGAAGGAGGTAACTTCTTTAGAGGCTGTCACATCAGACATTGTGCTTGTTTACGGACAAGGCTTTGCTGAATAATTCAGACCATTTACTTTTGGCAGCCGGCCCCTTTGGGCCAAATTTACTCCTTACTACACCTATGTTTTAAAAATGGGTATGATTAAACAAAAGTGTTTCTTGCTTCCTTAGTTAGCACGGCGTGTTACACTTCGCGCTATCAACTCGAGGTGTACAAGTTTATCCAGGACTTGCGATTGATGGTCTACGCTTCTATCCTTTCTTCCCATAATGTCACTCGACTTGCCTTTTTGACGAGGTGCGCAGACATTGCGTATAAACAGGTACATGTGACGCAGAAATTTAGAAGCAGACGGCTATTGCCATATTGTTTGCTTTCCTTAGGCCATCAGATATTTTCGACGCGTCCAGGATGGGCAACTGTTTTGCACATTGGGGCCCGAATTCTCCACTGAAGTGGGGTACTTTATGTTCAATAGGCAAAAATTTACAGTGAGTTTTATATCGTGGAAAAAAAGGTCAACCTAGTGCTCTGACGTCTTCTCACTAAGTAGAGGATTGACCCGCAAATCGAGAAATAAATCGAAGTTCTACGGTATTTGCACTGGTAACCTTTGACCGTGGTAAGTAGCAGGTAGCATAGGAAGCACAATGCTGGACGTGACTTGCCTCTACCTCGTTTTCTACTCGCCCTGAGAATCGACTTTTTTCACGGCTGATTGAAGCAACGTTAACGTAGCTAAGGCCGAAATACGCTAGATTTTCCGGTGCTTTCCACTATACCAGGTTGACCCAGCCAAAAGTACAGTTGTACCTTCTTGTTTTTTTTTAAATTACTCGATGGACCCTTCAGAATTCATTTCCTGCTTTTCTGGAACCGTACTTTCTTCTCATATCAATATTTTCCCTTATTTGCAGCATTAAATGTTTATCCGACTCTTCGATTTATTCCACTTCGCTTATTCTAAGCGTTTTATTTCGTTGCAACTTCTTATCCTTGTGTTAACTCTGCAGAGGCCAAGGAAATGTTACAACCTCCACCGAGTAACTGTTAACCGGTTCTTGGTATACTTTCCTCCTCATACACATGCGCACACGCGATTTTGTATCTTTTAGAAGGGCTCAATCCCGACGAGCCCTGGGCAAAGACGCCGAGGCTGTGGCTGACTTGAAACGTATTCTGGACATTGAACCACATAACTCTACCGCTCTGAAAGACCTCCGTATTTGGACCGGCGACTCAGATCTGCGCGCCGGTTCGGTAAACTCTATCTTCAAGCTTGTTGACATTGAGAAGGCAGCATCGGCCGACTTACACCGTGTTCAAATCTCTGAAGTTGGTACTGATCATGGGCCAAAGCCTTCTGGCGACGCTGATCAGAAAAGACCACAGAATGCCGATTTTGTGTCCGAACCTTCTCCAGGCGTTTCAGGCGGAGGCCATCGCGATATTCCCCAAGCCACACCCTCGGCTGTGACACCTATGCGAATATCTCCAACGTTCCCGAAGTGTCCACCCACTAATTGGTTCCAAATGGATCGTGATTTAAGAGAACTAGTCCCATCTGGCCAGACCCTCACTCCAATCGCTGTTGAATACTTGTGTTCAATAGAACCCGCGAATTATTCCACAGTTATTGGACAAAACCTTGATTCCTTGTGCCTTGGTCGTCTGTTGTCGGCCATCAGTCTGAGTCCGACCCTGAGTTCGGTGCAGAAGGCAGAACGTTTGGCGGCATTAGCTAAGCTGCCAAGGTTTGACGTAGCCTGGTTGCTTGCAGAAGATGCTGATCGCGAGAAGGTTGAAAATCTGCTTCGCGAAGTATCGCCTGAAAATTCTGACCTTCTCAAAAGGTCATTTATTTAACTCTTTGGAGGTGTCGTCCGTTGTGTTTTTTTGTACACATGTCATATATTTCCTTGAACTCCCCATCCTGAGTTGTTTTAGCTATTGGTCTTTTGCATTCTTGGTTTTTTAGCTTAGCGGTTGCGGGAAATTCTGTTAACTTGTAATTTTTTTATGAATTCAAACAAGTAGCTTAAAGTAAGGGCTGTAGCTTAGAAAGGACAGATGAATTTTGCTAGCGTGCTACAAGCAAGATGTTCATCAAACACAGCAAAGGTACCCTTAGACGGTTTTCTGCAGACGTCTCTGTGCCTCACTCTATCTCGTATTATTACGTTTCACAGCTTTGGTAATGTGTCATGGAGGGTCTCTGCAATTTGCTGGCTCTGGTCTTAAGATGAAAACTTGGATGAGCATGAGTTCCTTTTGCTGGAGGAGATGCCTGCTGCTGCCGCCGCCGCCAATGTGGAATTTTCTAATCAAGCATTGTACTGCTCTATCTGTCTTTCGCACTGAGACTGTTTTTTTTAATCTGCAGGCAATGGCTGCTCATAACCTACTGTTGCGTTGATAGGATATAGCGATATGCGCTTTTAGGGCAGGAGTTTTGCTTGTTTTCTGCACTAAGCAGCTTTAAAGTCTGCCCGTCCATGGATGGTTTACGCAGTTGTCTAGGATGGTCTGCGGCCAATTCTCTTCCGGCCTAGAGGGCGCTGTATTGACTAGTGGTCAGAGAAGCAGGTCACATTGCACGTTGGCGGTATGGTGACTAACAAACGGGAAATTCCCACTTGGTCCCTCTCAATTTGACCTTTCATTTATAGTGGTCTAGGAATCGCTCGTCTCTGGTGTCCTGTGTATAATGCAAATCTTCGAGTGCAACCCGCATGAGTCACGTCGCCTTTCCACCAAAGGGTACCGGTGTTACCGTCTCATGAAGTGAAAAGTGGTTACCACTGTAACAACATGACGTTTACACGCTCTCGCACCCCCACACCACTTGCTGACAGACCAGGGCGGTGCTGAAAAAAATCAACCGCACATCGGGGAGTATTCGTGTACAAATATCGTCTGATTGTGTAGCAGTGTTCTGTCGCCCGTCTTGTTTAACCAAAATCCCCACTTTTGTGATCAGCATAAACGTGGTGCTACCGTTTTTAAAGAAATAGATATCGACAAAGCGATAACGCCCGAGCACCTCGAGGTGTTAGAAATTGGAGCGAGTGGTTGATTTGATGCTCGGTGTTGGGATGGAGCCCGGTCGGAGTATTCGCACCGCTCTCTGCTGCACCGGGTGCATTTGTTAATTTGCGATTCCTGTTCGCCATGATTGCTAATGCCTTCACAGAGTGTAGCTCATTTTATGAATAATTCATTTGAGTATCCACACTGCAACGTGGACAGTGGTAGTGCCACAATTGGATTATTTGGACATTAAATTGCCGCTTGTTCCAAATTTTGCAAAAAGTGGTCGCGTTCACTCTAACTGGGTAGCCTGCGGTTAGAGCCTACGTAGTCACAATGAAAAGCATCATTACTTTTGTACCGAAGTATTTTCTCTTCCTGGGGTCAAAACAAATGCGATAGCACTTAGCTCGTTATCTCGTGTTGATTGTTGTTTCACGAACGGTTGCTATCTAACCAGGCACTATTGTGAGTGCAGAGGAGTGTGCTAATTCACGTCTATCAGCTTCGCCAACGCGTGTCCTCGTGCATCGAGCACCTACGCTCAAGCTTCTGCGCAATTAATAGATCACAAGCGTCCTTTCTAGGGCCACCAGCGGACATCGCTCCCGGTGTGCGTCCGCGAGTGACTAGTCGAGGCTCCGGTGTCTCGGATATTTTAGCTCTTCTTGAGTGTTTGCACACAATCCAGGCCTTGAGAGCTTAACTACTGTCCTATGGGGAGATTCCTTGAAGCAAACGTTCGTTAATAAGCAATATAGGCTGGCGTGATTTAATTGTTCTCGTAAATCAGCATACTTGATTTTAGCGAAAGTGCGCACTTGAATCATAGCTATTCGGTTAATTTTTCTGGATCCAAGACACTGATCTCGCAGGTAATCCACCAAACATCCCAGAATGTTGATCGGTGTACCCCGCAACCCTCCAGCTTACATTATTTTCTATGTTTTTCCTAATGTTTTCAATGACCATGATTAAAATGCAAAGAACATTGAGTGTGCTTTCCCTAGGTCGGAAATGCGCACTTTCCCAAAACCTCACACCAAAACTTTCACAAACACAGTTTCTTCAATAAATTATCGAAGGTAATTCTAAAGACTTGGGACAAAAGGCATGGGTTGTTCTTTTTACTTAATAAAATGCAATAGGAAGCTTATGCAATATAGTCAGTAACGGAGGTTTTCGCATGCATGTATTTTAAATACAAAATGAATAATTGTGTTCTCTGGCTTTCTAGAATGTAGTTACAAATTGTTTGCGTGATCGCTTTCAATGTGTTTGTGTAAGGCAACTTGATGAATGTGGTCAGTAAGGAAGGTTAATAAATTTGGACTTCGCAAAGCGCCGCCAGATAGTCCTTGGGCCACGTGCCCCGCAGCCCGTGCGCCTCAATAATGACATAGCGGCCAATGACAGGTCGGTGACAGGTGATGTGGAGTTTGGGTGAGAAAACGGCATCGTTCAGGCGCGTTACGTGACCGCAGAGTTGTCTGCCGCCCGTCAAAGAATCGCTCTCAATGTAAACGGAGACCCGTTCAAGATTGTTCATACGCATCATGTGCTCCGAAGTGCCTTGCAAGCTGTGGGCAATCAAAGCTCGGAAGGGTTCAACTGAAACACAAAGGGAGCATGCAGCGTGCGTTCTTTATGCCGGCTATTCAAGATCAAAGTGCTAGAGTTTGGACAGATTTCTCATCAACACAGCTCTATTACAAATCCTGCGTGCCACTTCGTCAACGCTGTCTATCTGATAACATGGAACTTTCCACCCTTTAACACGCATGCCTATTTCATAAGGATACCAATATAAGTAGAACGGATTTACGCTATTGAACAATATATGACAGTATTTGCTACGGTTCTACTACAAGTTAATCGCTTAAATAATGCGCACTTGACAAGCCTGCTCTGTTGCTTTATAATCCCAAGCTTAATTTAGTCTTTTAATGACAAGATTACGGTGAAGTAAGCATAAATTCAACAAGTCCGATTCTCATTCTTCCAAAGTCTCGGCAGAAAGTAATCTTTTGAAGTAGAAAATAGTCTCAAAGAAATGCTATGTACGTAGTACACATATGCAGACTTGTGTTCTTGATTACTGACTTCACTTGGGTTTGATTCATCGTATCTTCTGTTATGCTGAATTAAGATATCCTAAATTTGAAGTCTCATATCTTAAACAAAGGCTTATCTCCTTTGGTGTGACATATGATAAATATCAAAGACCATGTCCTCCCCAACTGACTTTATGTAAATAATCAGAACTGTTAATGTAGTAAAATATATTAAAAATACGCGTGTTATTAAGTAGCTAACGTTTAGAGAAAGTTAGGACTTCATTTGATCAAAGGCGACCTCTGGGACAAAGCAAAATATCGTGCTAATCTCATCTTCATCTGTGCCATTTTTTCAGAGACCCAAGATTAAGTTTAAAACAACAATATTTGAATTATTCTCTTTAACGTGAGTTCAACTCAGAAGATACAAGGCGCATCTCTCGTCTCGAAGCAAAATTATTTTTACTGTTATCATTGAATGGTTTACAACTGACTTTCCTATGGTGGGGAAAATTAGCATGATTCCTAAGTTTTTAACATTAACGTTTTATGTTGCGTTCAGCTCCACCTTAACTAAACCAGCCCAAAATTTTTTGTATGCAAGGAGTCTTTTCTGCGAAAACAACTCCAAATGTTGCTGATAACAAGTCTATTTTATATTAATAAGGTCAAGCACAAAAGTTTGGAGCGTTCAAGCGTGTGACGTACTCGCAAATTATCTACTCCATTAGCGGCTGCTAAATTTTCGTGAGGCCATTTATCAGCATTAAAATCAGCTGTTTAAAGGCTTACCTTTTCCGTGGGAACCGGTGTAAAGGACAAGTCCCTGCACTTCAAGAGGCTCCTGAAGATCAACATGCCACGCCGGTGTCTCTTGAAACGGCCAGGTGTATTGTAGGATGGTGCACTGGCGTCTGCGTGCATCCACCGTCGAGATAGATCTCTGTGCCCTCTTGGCATTCTTGCCAAGCGGTTCGTCATTCAAGAGTTTATTTCGGTCCTCAGACTCACCATCGTCCACCTCCTCCAGCCCCGTAAAACCGTCAACGGCGCGCATGGCAACTTCGTCTCTCATCACGTAGCCCGAGTCGCCCAGCATCACGTCATGGAGGTTCCAGTCATTAATGGGAGTGGTCGGAGGGATTGGTTTTGGTGTGGGGTCAAGGAAGTAGGTGGTTGTGTGGGGAGTAGTTGGTGCGGGTGGAAAAAACGAGTAGAGTGGTGTAAATGGGTTCTTTTGAGAGGAAAGGTATGAAGGCGATGATAAAGCAGAGGATTTTCGTCTTGGATTGTCGGGATTGCCTGACATCCAGGCGTCCTTTTTGTAGGCCAGATTAGCCACTAGATAAAATTAATATTTGACAAGTTTTTTTTTAAAAATGTAGCAGGTTTAGGTGCTAATACTAACTTTTAAAAGAAGGCTAACCTATACGAATCCATGTTGTCATTAATTCAAAAAAAGTTTAAAACCAAAGTCAGATGCTCTAGTCATTTCTCCGAAAATCACGTCGCCACTTTTAACGAAAGGCAAACGTTCGGTTTCATAATTACGAAATTTAACCGCGATCTTAAGAGAAGTCATTTACATATTTATAAGTGGTAAAATGATGCTTGGCGTTCATGGTCCAATATAATGTCTCGATCTTGGATAATCAATGTAATGACCACTGAAGACCACAATGCAAAAATATGCTATCATAATATCAATTCAAAATGCAAAAATCTGTGTAAATGGGCTCTAACATTTGCGCGATGCTCTTAAATAATTCTTTGGCGACTTGGTTGACCGTTCCGGATTGTTTCGTATTCTTCGGGAATTCGGTGAGTTCCTTCAATGGTGGGCCTCAAAATCTCGTAGACGGTTAATGTTTACGGTGGTCACCCACATTATTGCAGTCACGATTTTAAGTTAATCATTTTAAATGCTCCTTCAAGCCCAACGCAAATAAATGCTTTAAAACTTCGCAAATCAGATTTTTTAGGGGATGCTATTCAAAAAAACTATTTGACAGAAACTAGATTATTTATAATTTAATTATTATCTTATCAGTAGGGAATTTTGAATAGACAAAGGATTCGTTGTTTGGCAAAACAAACGTGCTTGACTTTGATCTTGAATTAATAATTATATTATACCCGATACAATACCTCGAATATATTTTCACTTTATTTAAGTACTTATTTATATATCAATCACATTTTATAATCTAACAGTTTATAAAGAAACAAACTTTTGTCATACGAACAAACATTGCGGACAGAAAACTTCATGGCATTTCTGTGTTTTCAAAAAGGTGTTTCTAAAATGGATTACTCTCTGATCCTGGGCCTCTTACCACATGAGCTTTTGTCGTTGATGCGGAAGAAGCCGGACCCGCAGTTGCCTTTGTGCCGACAGCCAAGAAGACCAACGCGCATGGCGATTCGCCCCTTCCAGCTTATTGGGTGAATTCTGATGTATCGGGCCACCACTGGAGACGCGAGGTAGTGCACTCTTTCAGACAGGGTTTGTGTGTTGCCCGCGAACACCTGCAGTAAATTAATTCAGACACTCAAAAAACGGAGCTCACGTGATAAACTAGCTTAGACATGCGTATGGGTGTCACTCGAAACAGGTTTTCGTATCTGGCATTTGTAGTGGATCGTTCAGCACACCTCAAGTGGAAGGCTTCACTGGTGTTTACTTCTCTGAAATACCTACTATTCAAACACAAACTTCAGAAATAAGGAGAAAAATCAAAGCAATCAATAGCCCAGGATAGGAGGAAAAATTTTAGTTTACGCAATCAGATTTTCCATTTTGGAGGGGCTCCAGGGCTGCTAAAAGTAAAAAAACGTCTCAAACGTTTGAACACACTACTTTTGGCAAAAGTAGTATCATTTTCTGCTTCTGCCATAATAAAAGATACTTTGGTGAATTTGTTGGACGATCGTTAGTAGTAGTTTGATGAAAGATTTATTCAGCTTCTTCTAAGGGTGTTCCTATTAATTGTCCAAGACAAGCATATTTTTACTGGGTCAACAAAGATGGCCAATTACATGAAACACAGAAACAGCCACCGTGACTGCCTTACTAGCCACATTTGCAAGGAAGCAATTGACAGAACTTGGCTGGTCACTCTGCAAGACAGCAGAGGCCTGTATAATCATGCGTCACCTTGTTTGATCATGTGCAAACTTAGGCATCGTACCATTTATTTCTTAATCAGCATTTTTGGATCACTTTTCAGTTACTTTTATTGTCACATGCCCTGATTGCTTTAAACCTGCCACATCAATTTAGTTAATGTAACATTAAGCTACTTGTGATTACTCTTTCCTAGACCAGAACCTTTATTTTAGTGGTGTAGCCAATTTTCAGGACCAAATCTATACTGTTTAAACCAAAGGTAGTTTGTGTAACCTACATAACATTTTAGATTGAAGAAACTGATATCAGCCTCGCTATTCGTCTAAAAACCAACTAAGGTGGAGGAATTGTAAGTAAATATTATTGACGTACCCGCTGATCCAGATGGGGAGCGTCTTTATAGAAGAACCACAGCAGACTGTCGTTGCTGTAGGAGAGTTTGAAAAGAGTCACGTACTGCTGCCACTTGCCATCGCCGCGGGGCCTCAACACAACCCCTGTGACAAGTGTTGGGGGTCCGAGGTCAATCTGGAACCACTGCATTCCTGGTGGAAAACACCACAGATAAATTAGCACAAAAAATGAGTTAGTTTGCAACAAAAGCAAAACGGTACTAAACACCTGTTCATCAATTTGCACATCTTCGACAAAATTCCCTTGCAGGAATTTTCCGTAAAAGATACACCATGAAATGGGAGTCAATAATATTATATAAGGTTAATACGGGAGAAAAAAAGGCCCCTACAAGCTAACGCAATTGCATCTTCAAAAAGAAGTATAAATTTTGATCCACTTCCTCCTGAACTATCCTGCTTCCAACTAACTGCTCCATTTTATAAGTGGTCGTTGTTAATCACACGAAAAATGCTAGACTGGTCATCTTCAAAATAATTATGCTGAAAGAAATGATTATTGTGCATTTGTCGCTACTGCTCAGTTATGTAGGGATAAAAAGTAACTGCCTCAGTTATTTGGTGTTACTTCAGTCGTTTATTCATACGATTTCTTGTTCATTTACATGTAGTTTCTTAATAATTAAGCTGTTTACTTAAATCATTACCGAAATTTGTCGTTCTTAGTAAAACTGATAAGCAAACCAAATTGCTTGCTTTGAATTAAGCAATTTTATTGTGTCGTGTGCTTTAAAAAGAACTCAGAAAGACCAAGTACTGATCGAATGTCATTTGTTGCAAGTTTGATTTACTGGCGACACAGTTTCGGACTAACCGTTCTGCCGCTTAGCACACCAGGCCTTGTTGCTGAAGTAGTGTCCATCCTCAGGGGAGCACGTCCTTGCGTTTCGCTTGCTGCGCGTCGTTGAGGCTCCGTAGCGCGCATACGGCGGCGTCCCAAGCAACTGTTTGCACGCTAACACCAAAAAGGGTGTTCAAATACTGTCTGTCGGTGTGGATTAAGATTAAATTTCAACACTTACGCTGGCAGCCTATAAGTTCAACACGGAGACTCGGGTGCCGATTCCATGTGAAGGGGTAAATACGGACGAAGCGCGTGACAATGGGCTCGTCGAGGTAGGTGTGCTTCACTTGGTATGAGTCCAAATTACCCTCAAAAACCTAAAGATTGAAGCACAGTGATAGGTTTACAAAAAAATGGCCACTTTTATCGTCTGCTTCAAAATGTCAAATCAAGCAACAGGCAGAACTTGATTTTTTTCTGCAACTTGATGAAAGGCAGGTGTTTCTTGTCTAGATTTGAATGCTTCGTATCATGGTTAAACCACTTAAAGTAGTTGCTGCACATGAAACTCTATTAGCGTGTTTTTCAGCTAGATAATTCGGAAGCAGTTTGTTCATGTCGGCACGTTTCCGTGTATGTCCACATGCATCCTTGCACATTCACATCACTTAACGAAAAACAACTGTTTATTTGCTGCTGTAATTTCTTATCATGTTGACTAGGACATGAAGCTTCAACACCACCACTTTCTGTAATCTTATACTTCACTTTACAAACTTGTCTCGTATTTTTCCTTTTTCCAGTATTTATCAATCTGGATATGTCGGATTCGACAGTAAGGGGTACTTTGGACCATTCATCAGAACGGAAAGTTATCAGATTTGCCGTAAATCTAGCGATCAGCATGCAAATTCTTTTATTGCCACACTTGTGCGCGAAATATGCAACCTGGTCTTTTCGAGGTTACTTACGAGGGAACAGTGAAACATGTCACCAGGAAAATGTCATAAAAACGTCCCCTTAAAGTTAATTCAAATTAAACTGCTTGTTGAAACTACTATCAATGAATCTTGTAAATAGCTTCTGAGGTAGCTGTTGGGTATGGCAAATTAACTACGGACGCACTAAAAGTCAGGAGAAACTTGATGTTGATAAATCTGGGAAAAGGGTAATCTAACATGTCTTGGTTTACTTCAATGTCCGTGCCTAATTGGCCCAACATAAGAGATTAGCTGTCAGCGTTAAATGACATTTGAAAAAAGAAAAGACAATGACAGCGTGTGATCATATCTTATATGGTTGTTTGTGCATACCAACTGAATAATTTCCTATTTGCACATTGGAGGCTGTTGGCAATTTTGCAAAAAAAATTAGTACGGCACTTTACACTAAATTTGGAATAAATATTTTGACAATTCACAAATGTCAATGTTCCATAGTGTTCCATATACTGTTCCTTATTGTTCCATATAAAATGTAACATGTAAACAAGGAGATTACGAGTCCATTAAAAAATGATTGGAGGTTGAATGGGAACCCTTCACCCTTTCAGGTCCAATCTCAGAACTCCAAAACTCACAAATGTAATAACATATCTATCAGTGAAAATTACTGCACAAACTGAAGTAGTAGAAAGACTACGATTAATTGAGTGGTTGAAGTTTCTCTCTAAACTAGGCGCGATTTGAAGTCTATCGAATTAAAACATCGTTCTTCAATTGAGTTACTCTATCTCTTCATTTTGCAGGTTTAAAAAATTACCGCCTGCATAAGGTATAATTTAAGATTGATGTACGAATGTGGTCTTACCCGTTGGTTTCCGTAATGATCATTTACAAAGTGCCATGTTAATCCGTCGTCACTGTAGGATAGCGTGTATGAAGCTACCCATTCACTCCCATCACCACGTCCTTGTAAAAGCACGCCAGTTATCTGAAACAAAACCACTGTGATTACAGAAGGTCGTCGTTTCGAGGATGGTAGCCAAACATTTCGCATAGAGTGTAGAGGTATTTTTCGACATTTTAATCAATGCTTCTAGATTTAAAATGTGGTGAATTTCTAAAGTGCTACAGCAACAAATGACAATTACTTAGCTTCAATGAAAGGTATAAATTAAGGCAAGCATTTAGACAGTCATCAGACGAAGAACACTCGAATGTGAAGCAGCATCCACCTAAAGCGCCTCACGAAGCATCGTACAAGCCAACTTTGCATTGACCTCTTTCAGGTGTTGCTGGCATGGGATTCCAACCCATTCAGCAGAGAATTATTTTTTTTAAACGGTGTCATTATTCCTCTAATAACCCCGTCGTTGCAAGTAAGATGGGTACCTGTTTGGGATTTTGTTTATCTTTTAAGTTGGTATGTCAATTTAACTATAATGATACAGCAAGGTTAGTCGCGGATCAGACTAACGTTCAAATTTCTGAAGCACAAAAATTATTAATAATAAAACTGTATTTTTGATTACAAAAGCTGTTTTTATTGTTCAAAGCTACAAAGAATGTAAGGTAGCTGCGATTTTACTTCCTAAAAATTGACATACGCCTATGCATTGCATGGTGGACCAAGAAAATTAAATTTAGCATTGACAGAGTTATCTAAAGCGTGTTGTGGCTCGAATAATCCTTCAGACACTCATATTCGGTACAAATTACCAGAGGAAAATGCTCCAGGGAGTCAGAGGAACTAGATTGAGGCCATGTACGCGGCGGTACAATCTATTTGTGTGGTCTCAGATGATTCTGCCAATGACACGACACGTTTGGATGACCACACGCACATTTTTTTGAATAATTTAGTTCTTTAGTGGGAAAGTTATAGAGACATAGGAAGTTATTTAGTTTGATAAACTTGCATACTTTAAACCATGTCAAACATTTAAAAAAACCGCTAACATAGACTGACAGTAATGTTTCTTCTTACACTGACCAGCATAACGGCAAAATATGTAAATTCCTCAACTACATACGATGTACTTTACACTCCAGCACTGGTTTTGCCTTGTGACGTTATGAAGAGAAAATCACTGTAATATCTAAAATTTGCAAAACATGACTTCGCCGATTAGTGATATTGTATCAATGTTCGCGTTGAATGCATAATGCCTGCAGTTTTCACGCAATGCACCGAGTGTTGTCAAATATTTACGTAACTAAAATTACTTATCAGTAAAATGATATGACTACTTAACAGTTATTAGATGTCACGATTTGGCAGCCAAACGAGGTCAAATGTCCTCGGTTTTTCTCGTTTTCCTGACGTGTCTACTCCTCACACAATCCAAATCAATTGCAAAGGGCTGTTAAGTTTACATGGTTATCTACTTGTTTCAAAAATTATTGCTGCGTTAACAAAGTGTTCTTTACTTCCATTTTCGAAACAGCAGAGCTTTAGCTTCTGGAGAAGCATGATAATTAAGCTAATTGAAAGTTTGTATCAGTTGCACATTTACCGGCTATAGGCTGCTGTTCCAAGTTGTCACTGTGAAGTAAAAATCCATCCTTCCACTATATGCAAATTACAGACTCGGAGTAGAATCTCTATTTTCATTCAAATATTCATTTTTCAGCTAAACGTCAGTTTTTAGGGGATCATCAAGCAATCAGAAACAATTATTCAAAAGCACTGAAATATTGATTAAATTTATGTAAATTAAACATTGTACTATTTATATAATGCATTCACTAGATTCACAATTGACTTACTAAGCCCGAAATTTGAGCTGTTAAATATGTATGTCGACATGCAGTGTTTCTATCGTGAACGCGGCTAATAGCTCTACCTCGTATAGTAGTTATAACATTACACCAGCATGCAAAATTTGCTCTCGAAGCAATGTGAAAACTCCTCATCATCACTAAACGCAAAACAATCAGATGGCGACTGGATGGTTAGGTATTTCGACTGAATTTCGGCAAAACAAATATGAAGGCAGTCTACTGGTTTCATTCTCAAGAGAAGATTGGTGGATACAAGTATAAACGCGAAACCAAATACAATTTCACATTAGAAATGCTAAAATCAACAAGTCAATGTGGAATACAAATAGCTTACACAGTCAGAAAGGAATATTTAAATGTGTTCCTAACGATCACTGACATGACTATGCAAAACGATGTGCAACAAGTAAACATTAAAATATTTGCACACTTATGATAGTTAAGAACTCTGCTCAAACTGCGAAATAACGAAAAACTTACCAAAATTAGAATAAAATATGGTTTCAGACAGCCGACAAAATTATGTTTTGTGAAAAATTGTGGTGCTTGTGTAGCCCATTTAGTACCTTTATCCAGAAATTCTTTGACAGAACCGATATGAAAGTGTTTTTGTAACATAAGTGATAACCGACGATTAAAGATTGCTGCTTACCAAGAATGTGTTGCGTAAGCACTGTTTGGCATCAGAGAAAGCTGATGATGTGTTCATGAACTGGTTAGCAAGGTGTGCTTTGTTGATATATTAAACCAGCGGATCGGAATTTAAATCCATGGAGATACTGGTCCCTTGTGGTCAGCTAGAAAACACTGAAACCCTAAGGATTATGGGTGGATCCTCCACAGTAAGTCTCCGGTCTTTAATGTACATGGAGTGGATGTATTGAGGACGATTGTTTGAAGACAGATGCAGAAGCATTTTTCAAGGAGTGACGTTTCAATTACGCAAAAAATAGCAACAAATAATCGGATAAAATTTGACTGTTCGTGCCAAACAAGCTTGATTTTCGCTCACTTATTGTTTCATTGAGCCCGAATTCTTAGGAACCTCGTCCTAATTTTGAAATAGCTTTTAATGTGACAAGAGGATTTTCTGACAAACTGCTTTCTATCACGACTCTTGACTATGAGGTAAGCCTGTGCCCCATTAGTAATGGGAAAAATTCGGCGAGTTTGATTTTCGACTCAACTTGTGCCGTTTAGTGATAAGAATTTAACTTGTGGGGCATAGACCCTCAACTTTGCTGTACTCTCAACGAAAAAGTTGACTGGTTAATGCTTTCTTCAGTTGGCTTCAGTTATTGCATCCTCATTAGATATTTCACGTAACCCGCGAATCCATTCAGTAAAGCCGAATTGTGCTGGAACCAGTAAATAAATGTCATTTATTAACGGCCATTTAGGGTTAATCGTGGTTTTTCTCAGTACAGTGAAACTACTCTTCTGAGTCCACGTTTGACTAAGCGCTGTAAATGTTTGGCCTGATTGATTTCTGCTCTTTAAATAGTTTCTCTTAAGTGGTTGATATGAAGGGGCAGCTACAATAAATAAATATTTTTGTCCGACGCCTTGCAAACCCTGTTTTAGGTAATGTGTGGTCGAGAAATAATGTTCAATCACGTGTAAGCACTTATTCCTTTATTAGGTCGCTTTATTGTGTTTGGGTTCAGTCGATTTAGACGACTGTCGGTGAAGTTGGAATTATGATCATGGACTGGTGCATAGTCTGAAGCGTTAAGTAGCACACTATCCTGCGAACTGACGGCGGCTCTTGTGCTCACATCCTTGGCACTTTTTCGTAATGCTAAAATTCCCTTTGAAGTCAACCGCGCCCTCCAATGTTGTAACTGCGTTGCAAATGCTTCTACACCTACGTTGTATAATGCCATTGGTTAGCGGTTTTTGTGCTAAAGGTCTGTTCATCTACTTTTAATTCCGGTTAAAAGTTGCGGTAAGAACACATTAAGTTATGTCCTAATGACGGAATGTGGTACTCGAAGTAATGTTGCTAAGTCCTTTCAGGTGCTTTTCGTGTATTCAACGTCCCTGCAAAGGGTATTTGAAAAAAATGGCGCTGTTAGTCCTGTTTAATTTCTTCTTTAAAACCCATCGCTTGAGGTATTAATGGTCCTCGGAAAAAAACTAAGCTACTCTTCAGGTCAGAAGTCGCGTCTTCTCTCGTCCCCAGGCTTTTTTCGCAGTTGATTTTAAATGCATCGAATCAAATTGATGCCAGGCGTCTCTGCACTAAGAGTGAGTTTGTGTGCGCACACGAGGTGAAGGTTAACACTTCGACGAACTAAAAACTCGGTGAAAGCCAACGACTTTCCGCTAACACGTAGTTGTATTTGGTGTGTTTACCTATTCCTCCGTTAAAGGTGTTAAACTTATTCAAGAAATTTAAAAACGAAAAAATAATACTAAAATTAAATTACTTGACAAGGTGCGACCTATTTGGCCCCAACTACACCTATGGTAACTCCAAATTCTGTCTATTAACATGCTAAATGAACGCTTAAACCATGGGTTGGGATTTTACCTTAATAAATTTTAGTACATTGATTAACACTCGTCCCCTGACAGCTGTAATATGCAAGTGAATTTTGAAAAAGTACTAAAATGTGACTTGGCACTAAATTTCTTTATTTAGGAATCCAAGCAATTATTTTGTTCCACGACGCTACTGATTTCCAAAAAAACTAATGAGACTGACAATAATTGCACCTTCAGTCGACGGTTACCGAGCTTTAAAGAGGATTGTCTATAAGCAGAGATGAAACACCTTAGATATAGATAGTCTCTTGTGACTTAACTAAATTTACAGTATGATTCATCCTGTTAAATATTGAAAATGTCTGCAATCAAGTTGATCAAAAGTCTTAGTCATTCTAGCTATTTTAGTTCAACAAATCATAAGCCAAGTTGTAGATATGATATTCCAGTGCTCACTAAACTTCATGAATGAAATCCGGGGTCATTCTTAGTAATTTCAAGCATGTTATCAGACCAAAGACTCGGACAAATGTAGGAAACCTCTGAGTGCTAAATCAAAAATTACAGAATGTTTGTAAGAAGTAGTCCTGCAAATTAACATTCTCATTTGCTGTTCAGTAAACCAACGACAGTATTCATGCGTCGTCTTTTTCCGCTTAAACACGTTCTGCGTTCGGTGTGTAGACATTTTACTCGACGAATTCTTCTTCTGATTCTAAATATTTAATGCTGACACTATTCATGTCTACTTGGTTACGAGAACCTCTTTTCTGTTAAAAAAAGAGGCCCTTTCGGAACATCCTAAAAGCCATGCTTTGTGAAACAAACGGGAAGCTAGAATGAGCTGATTTTAACTAGGGTGAGAATAGTTTCATCCACTGAGGAGATGTCAGTGAGACTGACTTTGTCAACTCTCACATACCGTTCCACGAACCCCAAGGTCGATTTGCAGCCACTCAGTGGAGGACTTGTATTTCGGGCACCAGGCTAACCCATTCGCAAGAAACGGTCGCGCGTTGGCGGGAGCACAGCCGTTAGCCGCCCAGCCCCCCCCGGTGATTGAAGAGGACGCCGAGATTTGCGCGTCAGTGATGGCACCGGAGATCATGCCTAGTGGATCATCTTGTTCGCAGTCTTTGAAACAAGTAAAAGATGAAAATTTATTGCACAAAATTACGTGCCAGACCAATAAAACGTTTGAGTTCTTCTAGTACATGAAGGCTTATGATATAAGAAAACTGGTTTAAATGTCAACAAAGCGTGTGATGAAAGGTCTTTTCAAAATTGTGGATGGGTCAGGTTTTGAGGTCAGCGGTTTTATAAAACGGAGGCATAATAGTTTCCTCAAATTTATTTGGCCACGTTAAATTAGGCGAACCATCCAGGCAATTAAGATTAGTTAAACAAACCTTCAATCAGCAGAAATTAATAAAAAGGCACACAGTGGAGCGCATTTGATTGGGTTCCTCAATTTTTACATAGAGCAGGGAGTTGTATATCAAGGTTGCATAATCATTGGATTGAAGCAGTAATAAAACTGCAAATTACGCGTTATTGGAAACACTATTACGTCGACGAATCATTAATGTCTGCTAGCATGCATTGTTAGTTAAAATAAAGATTGTTAAGCTTAATCGGCATTTATTCACATTTATTTATTAACATTTATTGTCAATTAGACATTTAAAATTATGATGGGGGGCAGTGTTTTAAATACCTATAGTTAAAGCACATAACAAAATGAGATTACCTGTCGTTAACCTGATATATTCAAGACATTTAAATAACCGGTTTGTACGATGACTGCGGATCTCATGTACTTTCTCTTATTTTTTAGTTGTCGTGGTGTAACTCGCAAATCGGTGAAGAAAATACACGCTTGCACCCCAGAAAGTAAGAGGCAACATTGTAAGAGGCACTACTATTTGCAGGCTATGTAAATTAGGGTTAAAAGAATTTTCGGCGTCGAATTCCGACACCAATAGATCCAATCACTTTGCCTCAATTTTATATTATAGATTTCGATCTTTCGAAGCTTTGGTAAAAGTTAAATTTCGCGCATATGTCATTAATGAAGCCCAACCAGCAGTTTAACGGCTGCGCTAAGGCCTCTTGCATCGTCTTTGTCAATCTGAGAGCTCAGTTCTTTACAGACCGCTCATTAAAATTTTAAATGAGTGAAAAACCCTGTAGAGAAACTACCCTCTAAGACTAAGCGGACCACCCGATTTGGCGTTCTAACACTAACTCTAACCCTGGATCATTTTTAACTTATCACCAATTGAATCAAAAGGCACATTTTTAACTGTCCCTTTATAAAGTTAACTGTGTTTTAACTAGGGATAAGCAAAATCCCTTTAAAATTGAAAGTGACCATCCAAGGTGCCTATTTTAAAGGTAGCTGTCATAATTTTAATTCAGAATTTAGTGCTACACGATTTATTGCACTACAACTTATCTGTATCGAGTATTACAACATTCGTTTGACCAAAGTCATTTTGCACAATAACAAATTAAAATTATAGTGCTACAAAATTGAATTTATGGGAAATTTTACTAAATTTAGTTCACATAATTTGTGCTACAGATGTATACTTACCCGAGAGGCTAAAAACGGACCCTGGGTGGTGTATTTAAATGCATGTAATTCCTCACCAAATAAATCGCCGAATTGTTGGCATCCATTAAGATAACCATAGCTGAAATTCAGCTATAGAAGATGCATTTTTTTACATTTTCGACATGTGATGTTTACTTAATCGTTGTTTGATTTCATAACTGAATGGATTCGAACAGATACACTGAATCACTGATCTAGGATATTTGCTGATAGTAACTTTTATGAGCCCACTGAATTATCCATTTTTTCCACTAGACACTTAAGGAAAATATTTGTGAAAACACAAATTGAAAATTTATGACACTGCTTACGACGGAGTTTCTACAATTTTTGCGGATTCACTGTTGCCAAATTCTTAGACTTTCGAACAGCATCAAAAGAGCCTTTTGAGGGTATATTTAATTTAGCTAGATTTTTCTGTAAATTGAACTATAAAATAACTAACCTTACCTTAGTTTCTGAGCAAACGCTTGGTGGAATCAATACTACATTTCCTTTTGTTTAAAACCTCTTGTTTTCAGCCCCAACACTGTTAAAATCGTAGGAATGAAATGAGACTTTTACGAGGTGCAAGAAGTCGTGTTATTTGAAATGTCTAGCAATCAATTCCAGGAGCTTTTAACCAACCCGATTTGTGTCAGGAGAATTGCGACCCGGAGGATTATCATGCCATCGTAATTTTTGCCGGAAAAGCAAACATCCCGTTACTCGTGTGAATCTATCACTTTACCAAAACTCTGATTATCGTGGAGGTGCTTTCGTTCAATACTGCAATGTGAGCTGATTCTGTCTACTTGGTTTCGAGTAATTCAAGCAATATTATTTAATTTCGTAATAGTTTAATAACACCCACTTTTCTTACCTTGAAACATCAGTATAAAATGACAGAAGATTCTTTCAAACAGTATTTTTCGTGATTTAGCGAATTCAGGTAATTTTTCTTAACAAGCACCTAGATTATGTTTTGCAGTTTTATTTGTACTACTTGGTTAGGAAATTATATATTGCAGATTAATATATATACCCACCTATTAATATAAATATATTGGTATCCCAGTGGGGATGTTTTACACGCCACGAATTGAAGTATTTTCGAGCTACAATTTACTAAGAGTCCTGTTTAATGATACTAGGGTCAAATCGCTTGAGTTTTACGAACAATCCATTAAAATTAATGGGATTTACCTTAGTGTGTCGGTAATGCCAATATGTTGCTCCTGTTTTTTAATTTTTAGCATTACTAAATAAGAAGATGTTGTCAACGTACCATCGTAAGTGGGATTGTAATTCAGGTAATTTCCTGTTGCTCGTTCATCCACCAACGGCTCCCCACAAACCCATTTTGAGTATTGAATAGCACAGAAGACCGTTATCAGCAGTACTATCCTCATGGTTCTTCTACAATCAGCAAGTTTCACCTTTTCAATTTTCGTCCATTCTCGGAAATATAAGTACACGCGGCAGTGGTTTCCAAATGCAGCGATTGGTTCTTCCGGTGCGTGCGCCGTGCGAACGTTCTGTGCTCCTGAAACTACGTATTGGATGCATTAGTGACAATATTTATATTCTGAGAGGAAGTTAAGGTAAAGTCAATTTATGAAAAAAGCAAACACACAAAAAATAACACTATCTTCAAATATGGAATCCCTACTTAAGCTCCAAATATTCCATAATATGGTGTTTTATTAAGTCTTTAATGTAAGGGATTTTAAAATGAAAAATCGTCAGAAACGTTGCTGATGGTAAGCTGCAAAAATTCTCTGATTTCGGTTGCATTAATTCAATTGGCTTCGCAAGTTAGCAGACAAATGCAATATTTTTGGGATTGGCTGCAGTAAATTCAGTTGACATGATTTATACTAAAGGCACAATTCCACAATCACCAAGTTTGATGAGGCAGATAATCAGAGGGAAAGTAGTAATTTTAATAACAATTGTCTTCTGAATTTACATGACGGAGTGAACTTACAACAGTCATAACCAAGAGGAATTTGTTGATAGGATACATTGAAATCAAGCGTAGACAATGGTAAAGTAGATTGTGAATGAAAAAACAGAGGCCTAATAGCAGTTTCTAAATGGGAACTATAAGAATTGTGGACATTTTTCATGAGCATGCTTCTTAAAAATAATGGCTGAATTTGAGAAAAGGGCACTGGCATCAGCACCCTTTGCCGATATAAATTAATCAATTGCGGCATTTTACGATAACAGAATATTAAAACTGGCACATTGTTTCCTGTTATATACTACATGTTGGAATTTTAATGATATGCTACTCACACAATTGAAATAAAATGGATTTGCAATGAGCAGGTATTCTAGTGTGAATACAATTGCATCGTGATATACCACGAAGGCTGGTGTCCAACTAGGCCAATTTCTGTAACGAAAGACAATCAGGCTATAGCATTGGTCATGATTGGCTCTTGAGAATGGAAATGCGCATCCTCAGGAAATGGGCCTTCGAGATTGAAACGATGGATCAATATATAGTGACTTGGAAATTTCTGCTACAACCCTTGAATCCTAACCGGCAAAATAAGACTAATTTGTGTGGCAAACCTCCGCCGAGATCGACTGACAAAACGACGCGTTGGTTCCAATAATCTGTGATTTGCAAGGTTTTGTAAAGGGTTTAGAAGTCTACTAGACTTGAAAATTTCATAGCATTTAGCATGTGTATTCTACGAACATACATACGTCGCATTGATTCAAATCTTAAATCTTGGATGACATACAAATATTCTGAAAAGCATGGGTTTTTATCCCTTGGCAGCGTTGTCTATCTCAATCAGGGCATGTGCGGTAAGGACTTCAACCCAAAGTTTTATTGAACCCATATCCCTATTCATAAATACCACGTATAAAAATTCATTTTTTTTAAGTTTTCCTCATCAATATATCACTATGTACAACATCTTATTCTGATGTGTACTTAAAAAAAGCGGCGTTTTCTAAAAGGGCAAAGGACTTCACTATTGAATACAATTTGATACTCACACATTTATTTACCAGAAATTGTTGTTTTTTTAAAAATCGCAACCCAAATATGGGCCGCCTCTGTTGTGTCGTTTTCAAATTTTTCAAGATCACCATTGGCTTTAAAAGCACGCACTAACCAACTTACATTTCAAAAGTACGTCATTGAAGCTTATGCAATTTGCAAGAAATTTGGTTGTAAAGATGATTAAAAATATTATATTGCA